GCCCCATAATCATTTTTGTATTTAAATATTATTAGTAAATAAAAAAATATCAATCTTATCAGTTGTATTATCTTCATATATCCATCCATTTGTTCTTCAAATACATTCGCCAAACGCTCACATCGTATCTTGCGAATGCGAATATCAAAAAATATTCGAATATTCGCGATCGCGAATATTCGTTACGTCACGAGACTATAAATCACTTTTGATATATAAATGCGAAAGAAAGTTCATATGTGTCTGAATATCTGTTACTGCTTCACACTGAATTTGTATCTAATTAGTACATAGATAGATTATTACCTGGAGTAATACTTACTGTTAGGATACCCTTTGACACCTAGGACACCTAGATTTGACGCTACCAAAGCAAAGATATTACCGTCTCACCTTATATTTTTCAAACAGCTCCTGCCACAACCGTTAGCGGTGTCGCCGACGTCATCAGTTCTAATCGTTATGTTTGTATTTTCTATTATCTAAAATATACTGTTTGATGTCCGTGTAATATAAATTATCGAGTCATACTTATTGATAACTTTACTTGATAACTTTCTTATTAGGCGTCTTCGTTTTATTTTTTTAACTACCAATGGACTAATAAGTACCATAATTCAAAAGAGCGATGGTTTAAAAGCATATGTTACGAGTATGTATGGATTATTTGCAACAGCTGCTGACCGTTGTACCACATTTTATTCGTAGTTTATTTTTTTCTATGACTCTGGATTTTTTGAAAATTATCGAGTACAGTTTTAAATTTTTTAACTTTCTAATCTTAATTTTATAAAAATCTTAATCGCTTATCCCTCAAGAAGTCTTCTTTTCTCATGATAAAATCTAATATTTCATACACAATCATATTTATTACTAGCGACTCAATCTCGCTCCTCTCGTTAGGTTTTAACGTTTAGTATAGATTTCTCAAAGATGATGGAGAAGATGACATATTTTCCCGCTGTAAAAATTATCTTATATATTAAGCCGGATGACCAGTTATCATTATACCAAATTCCATCAAAATCTGCCCAATAGTTTTGTCGTGAAGCGGTCACAGACAGACAGACAAATATTCTTAAATTTATAGATTACAGAGGGCGCTCTGTATCGATAATAATGACTATTTCAATAAGATTTTCTAAAAAAATATTTAATTCAGTTACAATTTTTATTATATGTATACTATACAGTATACATAGATTTAACTAAGCCTTTAGCTTTATTGAATAATTACTCCGCTCCTAAGTTTTGTAGTCATAAATTATCGCGTTCTAAAAAACAAAAAAAAAATCTTTTCAATTTTATAATATTAACTAGCGACTCACCTCGCTTCGCTCGTGTCGGTGTCTAGCTTGCTTCCCAATACAAACTTTCATCCCCATTTTCCGGGATAAAAAGTATCCTATGTCCTTCCCAGAGTCTCAAACTATCTTCTTACCAAATTCATCTTAATTCATCTAAATCGGTTCAGTAGATCTAGAGATTACCCCCTACAACCTCAAAACTCACAAACTTTACCTCTTTATAATCTTAGTATAGATTTGTGACCAGTAGTGATTGTAAAGGGACAACAAAGTTGGTATGAAGAAATAAGTTAATAAATGTAGTAAAAGCTGAAAACGACTAGCCTTTACTATACATAACATCGTTAAAGCTTTCCTTAATTGCCTGAAATGCAATATAGAAATTCCCGTAGCAACCATGGGAATTCCTCGGCAAGTGTGGAACTACGTATATTGTTTGGAAACTTGTGTAAACTTTGCGGCCAAGTCTCAGCTCTAATTTGATAACAAAGTTTTGTTGTGTTCAATATATTATATTTACGTACTCTAACAACAATTACTATAATTGCACTTATTTTCTCGGACTTATTGTTAACACCTCCAGGTAAATTTGTAAGAAATGAATTAAAATTCTAAGAAATCTATTGTTAGCGGACACGACGGCGTATCCGCGATCGTGGAGGGATTAATGCTACATACGCATGTAATTAAAAAATATATATTGTCGAACGATGTATAACAGAAGCCTTTGTGTTACTCCAGGTCATTGTCTATCTGTGTACAAAATTTCATTCAAATCCGTCTAGCCGTTTCAGTGTGAAAGAGTAACAAACAAACATACCTACAAACATTCGCATTTATAGCAGTAGTTCGATATACAAATCTAAGAAAATCTTTTTAAAACTTGGAAGATATTGTAGGTAACTAGGGTGTGCGCAAACATAGGTACACGCAGTACGCCGCACTCATAGCTCGATGGGATGAATGATGACGACGATATTACCGGAGAGAGTTTATAGATGCATTTACTCAGAGAGTTTCTTATCTCCTAGATATTAGTATTTAAAGAATGCAAAGAAATTAATCAAGACTGTACCCTGTATATTACCACATAAGGTCCGGTTTACAAAGCTCAACTTTTCTATATTGTTTCGAGTTTCTCGCCTCGAAGATACGAAACCATTCGTGTAAATGAGTTTTAACTTTTAAGGCGTAAAACCAACGGCTTTGTAAACTTTCTGAGATACTTAGATGTAAGCAGCAACTTTCCAACTTCTGGTAGCAACTGAGAATTTCTGTTAGAGAAAGATCTATAGATCTATTGACTTAAACATTTGACCTCATGATCTGCAGTCATTCAAATTGGCCACTAGACCAATGACATTTTACATTTTTAGCTGGACGATAGGGCCTCGCTTACCACACTGCCTTAGTTGAAGTAAGCTGCAAATGGTTGTGTTTTATTCTAGGTTTTTTTTTTAACTAATAAACGCTTTTTGACCAAAGACGTACACTCACTTTAAAGTCATTCTAAAATAATTATTCCATCCACACCCAAGAGTGGAAGGGTACGTATAATGAAATATTATGTATTCTTTAAGTAATGAAATTCGATTCAAACACAGCGAAGAGAAACAAAATCGATCATACACCTAAATGAGTTGAAATTGCTCAAAAAGGTACATCATCTTCAATATTACTTCCATGACTTTCTTTCTATAAAAAACAAATAATAAAATAGTTATTTATTATATTATAATTATAAAAAATAATAAAATAGGTATTTAATTATAATTATAAAAAGTTCGAAAATGACGACAAATCAGATATAACATTTAACCTATTGAATAAATTTATAAAATTATTATTTACAATATGTATTTATTCTATTATTCTTATCATAAAGAGGAATAATAATGATATTTCATTTATTTAGATTTTTGGTTCCCGACGTTTTGAATGCTATACAGCAATCATGGTCTCGAGCTTTTCCGCGACCTTAGCCTTTTTTAAGCTTTCAAGCTTTTCAAAAGCTATTATATAGTTGTTACCGTAGATACTGTCTGTAAATAAATCTGCAAAGAAATCCGAAAACATACTGTTATTTAAAATTTTGACATTTGGCACTGAAAACAACAAGAACAGCGTGTAGAGTTCCAAGTGTTAATTAATATTTTCAATTAAAACTATTTATATTTTGTATATTTTGTTAAACTGCTTTCTATCGTTTCAATATAATATAACATATAAGTACATACACACTTTCTCTTTTTATGAGTAGTCCGATTATACTAAACAGAAACTAAAATCCGCGATTTTTGTTTTAAAGATAGTTGTACCTGTCATTTAAATTCCTTCTAATGTTCGCGTTAATAATTTTAAAGCAACATACAAATTTTTACAAGATATATAAAAAAATAATAATAATGTCCTCCTGACCAATTTTCCTGCCTATTCTTTTTACTCTCATAGTCCGATAGGATGATACTTCAATACGACTGGTTAGAGTTAAGGTACAAGACTGACGTGGTCTCCGAGGTACGGAGGTGAAACACCGCTAACTTCCCTGTTACTGGCAGAAAAACTCAAAAACTAAACTTGGCCTGACTCGGGATTCGAACCGAGGACCTCCGGATCGGCGGTCGTACATACTAGCTACTAGACAAACGAGGCAGTCAACACCTCTAATTACACATGCTGTTAGGCACCTAGAAACGCACGCACGAAGAGAGGGTAAAAGTACCTGAGCGACCTAGCTTTGCTCGTAGTTTTCAGTAAATACACTGATATAGATAATCTTAAAAAGCAAAACCTTATCTAAATCCAAATTGTTAGAGCTGTTTCCGAGATACACGAATTAAATTTACATACATACTCGTATTTATATACAAAAACTGCTCATTTAATATTATAGGATATTAAATACTAAGCAATCACATATAATACATATATTCTTAGAATAATTTAAAGCCCTAGAATTACAGTTAAATATAATCTTTGTAGAGAAAGGTCTAAGGTATGAACCATAATAATAATTATACAGGTATATGAGAAGTGTTTCGTTAGGCTGCAATGAAAAGCGTTCATTATTGTGCCTTATTAACGTTATAAATATTATGTTCATGTATAAGAAATTGTAGCTCAGTGGTAACACGCTTACTTGGAAAACACAGCGAAACAGGTTCGAATCCCGGGTCTGGCACCTCTGGTCTGATATTCGCATATGTAAATCATTTTCAATATGATTGCCATTACACACACATACAGTGAAGGAAAACCACTTAAAAAAACGGACATAGATTTATGAACATGTGAAGTCCATCAATTATAACCTGATCCCCGTGGTATTCTAGGAAAGCCAGTGCCCAGCAGTAGAATATTAAAAATGTTTGAAAGAGATTGATAAAATTGAACGAGTATAGTGGGTTTGATATCAGAGATTTGTTAGAACAAAATTGGAGACAAAATAAGAATTTACAAACTTTATAACCAAATAACAAACTCTAATGCTCAAATTTTATCTTTATTGAGTACTTATGATAATAAAGTAATTTATTTTTATGAGGTTTAATATTAAGTATAAAAATAGTTTAAAATAATCAGTTCAACAAATATTTTTTAAAGATAAAATCAAGATTTGCTATTACATAAAACTTAGATATAGTATGATGTTGCAGAGATCTGCGTATTTGCCAAACACTGTTTTTAATTTTAAGCAATAATGATAATAATGTTCACCTGACCGATTTCGTCCACGGCGGTCAATCTCAGTAAGACTAACCATTCCACAAGTGTGGACCACAAGTGGACCACAACTGTACGCGGAGACACAGGTGCACTTTCTTTTCCTTTCATTTCAAATTCCGATGACAGGACTGATGGTTTTACGTGCTCTTCGAGGCAGGGGGTTGAAACACCACCAACATTCTCAACTCTGGGCCGGTACTGAGAATTTGTTAGCATAAACACTCAATAAATACATGACCTGACCCGGGACTCGAACCTAGGAAGATCAGCAGCCGAAATCCTGTATTGTAAATATCTATTAGTAAAAGAAGTATTATAATCGATTCAGTGATTTCAAAGTTTTATCATTTACAAACAATCAAACAAATGTTTTATAATATTATACAAAACAACACCATTATTTAAATCCTACAAATGAACTCATTTAAAAGCATACTTACTTATCTTAAATAGCTATTAATTTTATCTTGTACGTAAAGTATGTAAAGAAAGACCTTCGCAGATTTACCCATTATTCATTGTTGGCTTTCTCCCAAAATGACTTATCATCGACACCCCACGCCGTGCCAATATGACAGCCATGAGTCTAAAATCGTGTGAAAGAGATTATTTTTGACGGTGCTGAGTTTAGGGAGGCTGGAGCAGCCAAACCGCTAAATACAAATGGAGTGACAGATGAGTAACGCAATTTTCGTAAAAAATTAAAAGCATTATAAATAGATTTAGCGAAGCAAACGTGAATGTGCGTTTTTGTTATATCAACGCCATCTTTTAACAGCTTTGTATTTGTTTTGAATAGTTATGTTTTGAAGATATATTACGATTTGAGCTATGATATATTTTTAAACGCCGATGATAAAAGAGGGGGGAATGTGTATCTGTGTCTGTCTGTGGCCTCGTAGCTCTTAAACGAAAGGAACCGATTTTGATGCGGTTTTTATGTTTGAAAGTTGAGATAGTTCTTCGTTATAATTTATGAATATATGTTCAGGCGTTTGATGATCATCAGCTAATTTCCTACTTGACAAATTGGTCTTACTAACTTTCACAGATCCCATTGATTTAAACTTTGGTGTACTGTTGCTTCGGTGGTATTTCCAAGACGTATTAATCTTGAGCTGATGCAGCATCAAGTAGTCTACGGGATGTTCAAACCTAATAAACTTAGAGCAGATATAGCGTATTGTCACAATGAGAGTCATCTATTCGATTTAGTGTCCGCAAGTAATTTAAAAAGAATGAAATTAAACTAAAATTAAACATTTTAAGTAACCCCCGACGCAAAACACTCATTAATGATTAAACCCCTACAGATTTTTTGTGAGCATAGAAATAAGTGAGCTATTAATTTAATGTTAAATTTAATTCATCCAGTGATATATACTTGTTTTATATTATTAAATTTTATATAATTGTTTTATACAAGTTTCTTTATTTATCTTAAAATTTGTTAAATGTTTAATTTTTTACGGCGTACACAAAGAATTATAAATCTGAATTCAAATTTTAAAGAATAATTTAAATGTAAATTGTGAGTAGATGCAATCTGTAACAACTAAATAATGACCTTAGAGACGTTTAAAATCTTAGTCTCTTAAGTTATATTAATAAAGCCATCTAAGTTAGATACTGAATAATCTTGAACTAAAGCTTTTTTAAATCTCGACTCATAAATTCTTATTTCATTTCAGGTAGCAAAGTATGCCAGATACAACAAAAAGAAGAGCTTACTAAGAACAAAAGAAAGTAAGTACCATCTTGAGATAACTGACAAGCTGGATAAACTCAGTGTGGTAGCGATATCATGTTTTGTAATAATTAGACCAAAAAATTATGTGTATTGTCCGTGTATTGTCAATTGAACGTAGTTATGCAAAATAGAACCAACAAAATTGGTATATAAAAATAAGTATTTTTTTTTAAATCCATTAAAAAAAGATTTTCGTGGGCTGCATCCATTTTGCATAACTACGTCCAATTCCCCTAGAATATTTTTTCTGAATTCTACGCAAATCGAACTAATTATAGCATGAACAAGTAACTATCACATCATTCATTCATCATTATAAAATAATAAAAATAAAAATACTTTTATTGACTTAAATTTATTATCATTTATAATATTAAATGAGCAAATCTTGTAAGTATAAAATTATTTCGTGTTTCTGGAAACAGCTTTATTTATGTATTTAGATAAGGTTTTGCTTTTTAATGTTATCTAAGTATATGGTGTCTTTTCTGAAAAATCTTTTTTTTCCGAAAAACGCCGAGCGAAGATCGATCACCCAGGTGTATTAGATAAAACATAATCTTTTTACCCATAATTAGAGAAACTCAAAACAATTGTTTAGGACATAGTGCGTATTATAAAATATATGTATCTATATAAAAGCTAAAGTTTATTTACTCACCGGCTAAACGCTAAATCTCCTCGACCTTTAAAGCTGAAATTTGGCAGGTGCGTAGATTATAGTTAGAAGTCACCTAAGACCGTCCTTAACTGACGTCTACCATCTATAATATAGACTTTGCGGCAGGCTCCGAATGAAGTGGGTGCAAAAATTAAGTTTTCAAAAGATACGAGAATATTTAGGTCCACACTTGGTCAGTGTGGCTGTGGTAGATTATGGCCGGCGGCTCAAGCTTTGCAATGGAACGTTAAAAAAGTCATGAATAGGTACATATAATATACATATATTGTACCCCTACTTAAAAAGAAACCGTGAAAAAGGGCTCAATACAAAAGCTATTAATAATAATACAATAATAATCGGATTACATTATAAATGCTATCATGTTATTAATATTGTATATGCGAAAGTTTGTATGTGTATACGTTTGTTTCTTCTTTTTGCTGAAAATTCTTGACAGACTTTTATGAAAATTATTATATAGATAGTCTATGACCTTGAGTAATTCATATGATCAATATTTATAAGCACTTAGGTAAGTAAGTACATAGCGGTAAGTCGCTACTTTTCGATACATTTTTTTATAGGTAAATGATACGTGAGCATCCTTTATACAAGTTGTTAAAGTAAATAAATGACTTATTAGTTTTATTCTACAGATTTTAAAGCGAGCAATTCGTATTAATTGTCGACAAAATAAAATTAATTAGAATAGAAACATTCACTCCGTAAAAGAGTTTAATCTATCCTGCACGTTTGTAGGATACTTTTATTTGATAGCGGAAAAAATACTGCATTGTTTGTGTCAAAAGAAATCTGAGAGTTCTCTGCTTTAAAGTTTTATTTTAATTTCATCGAGGTACTTTACGAAGAAATATTTTTCTTGTGGAAAACGAAGCGGGTATTATGGTATCAGTTTCGTCTTACTAGATTTAGAGTATATACTTTATTGTAATATTGTATTAACGTCATTATATTATGTTAGTAATAAAATTTATATGTACCCATAAGTTAACCCTGCGACCTATCTTATGATGATGACCTATCTTAAAGTCATGCCATATCCTAATCAGACCGGAAGAAAACTTACCAATGGCTAATAAAAATATGATGTACCTTCTTTGTGTCCACAACCGCGAAGATTTCAAGTTAGTACCATCAACGTATGATAAGTGGCGCGTGAGTTTTAATGAATACTGTAAGTACCGTGGACATTACAGGTGATTAGTGATTAAAATAGGTAAAAAAGGCAGTATGACAGCCAGAGGAAAAAATATATATATGTATTGTTGATACCCATAAGCAGTAGGGACGTACAGTGCCAACTCCAAGTAATTTGGAAAATGGGCAGGGAGAAGAAGTATTGTCAATACAAAGCACTGATAAATATAGTTCAATAGTGAAATCTGTGACTTCTAACGCGTTCCTGCCTCAAATATAGTCCTATTATTAACTGTAGTCAATTTTATAAGGAGACTAGTGATCCTCTCTGGTTTTCCCCTGATGCGTCACTGGATGCCCTTTGCAATTATAATATTACGGAAGTTCTCAAAAAAAAAAAGATTTTTCCGACTCAATACATAAAATATCAACTTACCGAAAGTTTATTTTTACATTATGTATATAAATTACAAAAAAGTCTATAACCTTACTAAATAATTCTTCTTATTGGTGAAATCCGTATGAAACTCCGTACAGTAGATTCTCAAATTATCCCAAACAAACATATTCTAACGCGGCTGAAGATTTTTTATGATATAATTTTTGTATGTACATAATTATAAAAAAATATTTACATTTACAGTCTATTAGCTCTTTAAGACAAAACGTTTACTTTGTAAATTGATCCGGTGACAAAAGGCGTGGGCCGGAGATACCGATAGCTATCATTAATCATGTTTGGTTCAATTAATCGTGCGAGTATTCAAGATCAAAAGCACAGTGGAATGGTAAAGGAATATATACTAGCATTTACTCGTGGCTTTTTGACGCAGAAGAAAAACAAAACCAATAAGCAGTCTTGTATATGAATAGATCCTACAAATATTAATGCGGAAGTTTCTGAGGATATTTACCCTTTCACGCAAAAACTGCTAAATAGATTTTGACGAGTTTTTACGAGTTTTTGAAACTTATATAGTTGATAGTAAATGAACTATGCGAGTAGAGCCGCGAGAAAACGCTAGTGTATTATATAAAAGTCAAAGGCCACAAAACCTCGTAAACTACTTGACCTGTGGAAATGAAATTTGGCAGGTAATTTATAGGATTATATGAAAGGCCTATGTTTTTCCTGCTTTATGAGTTATTCTGGTGACACATAAATGTTTACACAGTATTTACGACTTTAGAAGCATAAAAGTCAGAAACTTAAATAAAAAATGACTGCATGATGAATGGTATTTTAACGAGATATTCTTAAAAAGTCAGACTTTTGCCAAATCCTATCAGCAGTACAGAAGATGTACTGCGCCGACCCCAAGTGATTGGGAAATGGGCAGGGAGAAGAAGAGATTCTTAAAAAGACACTTTTTGTTCACCCCTTAGGGATATTAGGGACATTAGGGAGTGCTATCCAGAATTTATTTTTGTAATTTCAATGTAGAATTGTCTGGCGGTTCACATAGCATACTATTTATCAAATTTCAGTCATTTACTACTTCTAATAATTTCCGAGTGGCTGTAACATACGGACAGTTGACATGACGAAATTATAAGGATAACATTTTTGCCTTTGACTACGGAATTCTTAAAGTGGATAGAATACGTTTATTTATTATTTAGGTAATTCATATCTATATATCC